GGATGTGCCCAGAAGGTCTGGACCCTGCAGTGCATGGTAGAAGGTTCCAAGTCAAAATCTTTGCAATGTCTATGTCAAAGCATCTTTGAACTCCCTTCCTCCTTTCTTCATGTCCTATTTTCTCTTTTTTCTTTCTTTTCATATGTTTTTATCAAAATTTTAACTCAAAAGGCACAGCTTTCTGAGTTTTCTTTCTTCTTTATCACAGAATTTCAGAATGATTGTAAGAAAAACAAAGGCAGTAACATAAAAAAATATCAATGGAGTGATTTGTTTACTTCTGTTGAATTTATGACCTCAGCACTGATTAAAAAATATTACAGTTGAACAGAAATTAGAAAGACAATTTTTCTTCCACATAGTTCAAAATTTTTAGTGACCAGGAGTTCCATTAACCATTTGAAATGTCCCAGGGGCATATTCAAAGTCTAAAACCCAACAGCAATGTAATTTAGTACTTCAAGAACTATATGTCAGAATATAGTACTATTGCCAGAGGAACATTCCAAACAGATAAAAGTCAGGTTAAAGATAAAACAGACATTTCAATTGAACAAACATTGAAAGATTTGGTTTAACAGATTTTTGTCAAGTCGCCAGCTCTGTGCTCCCTACTAGGTTCCTGAACTGGATAGTCAAAGAATTGTAAAAATAAAGTTAATCTTGCCTTATTTGGCCAGGCTTCTCAATTTTTTTGGTTTTGTTTTTTTAATTTAACACCAAGAAAGGAAAATGCAATGCTTCCAATTCATTAGTGAACTAGTTTGTGATAAATGCAGCATAATCAGAAAACAGGAAGAGGATTCTGAATTGCTTACATGGAAGAAAGGTTCTCAACTGACATTATTTTAAAAATAGAATTTTATTGTAGCTTGTAGTATTACTGATACTAGATTAACCACATTTGTCACATGTAGTCTGTAAATCAAAGAGTTAGTAGAATCTCATTACTCTTCAGGGAAGAACAGTTTTATTTTTAAATCCCATCTACAATCTGTAAAGTAGATTTCCTTTTGGCAGATGGGATTTGAAAGCATTAACAGGGGGCATGTGCATGGTCCCGTGTACGTGCTCTGTGGAAGGCCCATGTGAGCCTGATAAAAGCTGAGGGATCTGCCCCCCATTTCTGCTGTTTTAAGCCACCCAATTTGTGACACTTAATTACAGCAGCTGAAGGAAGTACTAATACAGGGACCACTTAGAATGCTGCCTATTGCAGGTAATTGTGAGAATCCTGCCATGGGAAGGGCAACAGCAACTGATTCCTAGAGAGGGGTTCCAAGAGCAGACGACCCCTTAGGGAGCCCTGAAGATCATAAATTAGACTCCCTTCACCTTCCTCATTTTGATTGTGCATGATTTTTTTTCCTTTTTATTTAAGAAAAAAATTATACTAAAAAATTGTAAGAATTATACAATGAACTCCTGCATACCCTTCATCTAGATTTATCAACTGCTATTATTTTGCCTTTTTTCCCTATGGTTTTCTGTTAGAAAACATGACAAGAACAAAAGCTTTGAGTGAGAAAGACAAATTGAAGTTCAAGTTTACACTATGAGTTGCTTTGTGATTTTGGAAACATTATCATTGAATACTTTGAGCTCTTGTTTCATCCTGTGCACAATGGGACAAGTGGTGCCCCTTCACAGAGCTGGCTGAGTCTGATGAGGCAGCCCTGCAAGGTACCCAGCAGGGGTATTGGCACATGTGAGTGCCTAATGTGTGTGTTTTTCAATTCTTTACATTAATTTTCCTCATTTTATAAACAAAATTTTCGTTGACCTATTTCATGATCCCTTCTTCTCTATTACAAGTATGTCCAGGGGGGCCATAGTTATATCTGTACTTACATGTCCCCACATGCTCATGGGGTACCTCTAGTCCCTTGAGAAGCCACCCTGCTCCTCCTTACAACTGGACATCCCTAGGAGATATTCCCCATGTGCACCATGGGACTGGTGGCCATGGACTGTGACGGACCACGCCACTGCTCCCACCCCATGGGAGCGGCCATCCTTCTGCCTGTGGCCACGACACTTACCTCATCACTCCACTGTCCCACCGGCTGACAGGCTACTGCTTGGGCTGCTTTGCTGGGCACAGGTGTCCACCCTTACAGTGGTCAAGTGCCAAGGTCACCCCATGACTTACAGGAATGTGGGGAAACTGGGAACCTCTCCTTGTTAGGGTGTCCTAGAGTGGTGCAGCCTGTGTCCAACCACCCTTTGTACTTGAGAGAAGAAACTCCATGTGTTCCCTACAGCTTTTCTCTCCTAGACTTGGATATGGATCTGAAGGTGAGGGGGGTTATGGATTCAAGCCACAGTTATTATCTTGTACTGCAAGTCCTATCTGTCTTAGTCTATCAGGCTGATGTAACAAAAATACCAGAAACTAGGTGACTTATAAACCACGTACATTTACTTTTCACAGTTGTGGAGATACTGGGGTTCTGGGGAGGCCCTCTATCTGGTTCATAGATGGCATATTTTTCACTGTCCTTACATGGAAGGACTAGGGAACTCTGTGGGGCCTCTTCTCTAAGAGCATGAATCCCAATCATGAGGGCTCCCCAAATCACCTCCCACAGGCCCCTCCTCCAAACCATTCTCTTGGGGTTACGATACCAACATGTGAATCTGGGGAGACACAAATATTCAGACCATAGCAGCACCCCATTCCAATGGCTAATTAAAGGTCTCTTTAAGTATTCATCTTTCCTTAGGATAAATTCTTCCTAAACACTCTTCAAACCTCCCCTCCCCACAAATTCTGTTTTCCCCCTCACCTGTTTCTGAGTTTTAGCAATGGATAGAACCAGCACTGGGTTTCTGAACAAACACGTCAAAGTCCTCAGTGAATTCAACGGATGTGCCCAGAAGGTCTGGACCCTGCAGTGCATGGTAGAAGGTTCCAAGTCAAAATCTTTGCAATGTCTATGTCAAAGCATCTTTGAACTCCCTTCCTCCTTTCTTCATGTCCTATTTTCTCTTTTTTCTTTCTTTTCATATGTTTTTATCAAAATTTTAACTCAAAAGGCACAGCTTTCTGAGTTTTCTTTCTTCTTTATCACAGAATTTCAGAATGATTGTAAGAAAAACAAAGGCAGTAACATAAAAAAATATCAATGGAGTGATTTGTTTACTTCTGTTTATTTGTTGAATTTATGACCTCAGCACTGATTAAAAAATATTACAGTTGAACAGAAATTAGAAAGACAATTTTTCTTCCACATAGTTCAAAATTTTTAGTGACCAGGAGTTCCATTAACCATTTGAAATGTCCCAGGGGCATATTCAAAGTCTAAAACCCAACAGCAATGTAATTTAGTACTTCAAGAACTATATGTCAGAATATAGTACTATTGCCAGAGGAACATTCCAAACAGATAAAAGTCAGGTTAAAGATAAAACAGACATTTCAATTGAACAAACATTGAAAGATTTGGTTTAACAGATTTTTGTCAAGTCGCCAGCTCTGTGCTCCCTACTAGGTTCCTGAACTGGATAGTCAAAGAATTGTAAAAATAAAGTTAATCTTGCCTTATTTGGCCAGGCTTCTCAATTTTTTTGGTTTTGTTTTTTTAATTTAACACCAAGAAAGGAAAACGCAATGCTTCCAATTCATTAGTGAACTAGTTTGTGCTAAATGCAGCATAATCAGAAAACAGGAAGAGGATTCTGAATTGCTTACATGGAAGAAAGGTTCTCAACTGACATTATTTTAAAAATAGAATTTTATTGTAGCTTGTAGTATTACTGATACTAGATTAACCACATTTGTCACATGTAGTCTGTAAATCAAAGAGTTAGTAGAATCTCATTACTCTTCAGGGAAGAACAGTTTTATTTTTAAATCCCATCTACAATCTGTAAAGTAGATTTCCTTTTGGCAGATGGGATTTGAAAGCATTAACAGGGGGCATGTGCATGGTCCCGTGTACGTGCTCTGTGGAAGGCCCATGTGAGCCTGATAAAAGCTGAGGGACAAGAAGGGGAAACAATGATTTACTTACACAGACAAGAGTTAATCATTTCCATCCAATGCATTTAGTATCCCAGCGAGCTGATCTCACTCACCGTCAGACACCGGGTTGCTGGGAAGCAGACGAGGACTCGATGGCAAATGTCCTTCTCCTGAGTGTTATCCTACATATGGTGAGTGGAATGAGAGGTGGGTTCCAGCACTGAGGCAGTCACAGCATCTGGCTGGTGCAGCTCCTGTGACTGTGGGCTCAGCAGACACCTCTGCTTTCAAAAGACTCCTTGTAACAGTTTACAATAGGCAGATACAATCTGAAGTTCTGCTGAGCCACCTTCCTGCCTGGCCCCAAACACCATCCAACTACACTCAGAGATCCTTGAAAACATCCCAAATGTGACTTTTTAATTATTCAGCAACATGAAAGTAGCAACTCAAAAACCAAAAAGCACTGGAAGGAAAAATGTCTCAATATGTGAAGCTGAATCGGGAATGAAAATTTCTTATGGCTGAAGTTAAGCATCACTGCTGAGATTTCTTCTGTTTGTTTTTTTTATATCCACCTCATCTTTCTTCTGTTGATCTCTCTATCCAAGTGTTTATCCTTTTCAGTGGAAAGTAAAGCTAAGTATCATTTTACCAATTACTTATTTTACTATTCAAAACAACCAGGTACATTCTGCTTTGCACACAATGTTAGGGTGAAACCCACAGATTCACAATCTTGTGACCATCTTTCATGGCAACTGTGCAAGAGAATGAACAACAACAAAAATACTGTGACATTGATGTTTTGTATCTACAGTGAGGTCAGTTGTGAGGGGTTTAATCTGTCTAACCTCAGTGCCTAGCCCAGTATCTAGCAAATGATAGGCATTCAATAATTACTTGTTGAGTTAGTTTACATTTTCTTTCCACTCAAATTCTAGGGAACTTGCCCTTGTTTAAAGATGCAAAGGATCTGTGAGAAGCAAAGGAACAAATTATAGCTGTTAGGCTTGGAGCATTTTAAAAACCAAATAAGGCTACAAAATTTGGGAGTTGTATTAGCCAGGATATGTTAGGCTATGCTGTGGTAACAAACCACCTCTCAAATCTCAAGTACTTGACATTAATTTGAACTCATCCCAAATCCAATGCAGATGTTCCTGGTCAGATGATTCTCTTAAGTGGCTCTCTTCCAGGTGGTGATATAAGGATCCAGGATCTTTTCATCTGGTACTTTTGTCACCCCCTGTACTATCACTGTCCTCTCATCTATCTGTCCTATCCATCCAACCATGGAGTACAAAGAGAGCATGGAGAAGGTGCACTGGCTTTCCATAGTTTCATTCTGGAAGCTATACAAGAATTAGTCACATGGCCCCACCAGTATGAGGGGCTGGGGAATGTAGTTTAGTCATGGACCCAGAGAGAGAAAGGGGTTTGGTGAGTATCTATCCAGTCTTTGACATGAGAACCTGATGAGAGTACTGATACAGAGAGAAACAGGAGCTAATGGCTGGAGAAACCAAGTCATAGTAATACTGCCAACATGTCAGCAGTCATGAAGCAGAGGAGCAATCAAACAACAGCAGCAAGCAGGGAGGCAGGTCAAGTCAGTGTGGTCACATGCACCCTGGCCTAAGGCCAGCAGAAATGAAGGCCATGGGTTGCAGAGTGAAGATCTGGGCCAATTTCTAGGTCTCCAAGGAGGACCACCCTGAGATATTGTGAGGAGAAGAAAATCACTTAGGGGCTGGGGTTTAGGCAGCCCTCCTTGTGAGGGCCAGTACATAGACTATCCTTATGGTTATCCATTTATAACTTGTAACCTATAGGCTCCAGGAAGATGAAACTTATTAGTTAACAAGTCACATAATGTCAAACACATACATATACATAAATGTACTGGTAACTCATCTACTAAGCACCTATTTTCCAGGCACTTTATGTCAGTCATCTCTAATCCTTACAATAGCCCTTCAATGGACTAATTTTCCTTCATTTCCATGAGGAGACTCAAATTCAGAGGGATTAACTTGTCACACATTTTGTGAGTGACAAAGCTGGGATCTGAACGTGGTGAATCTGACACCAAATTCCAAACTACAGTGTAGTACCTTGTATATCTATGTTCATGCTTTCTGTGATGCATGTGCACACATGCTACAATGCCAATTTTATGAGGAAATACATCAAGTAGCTATTGCTACATAACAAACTACCTCAAAATAGAGCAGCCTAAGAACTCTTCATTATTTTTCATGAATCTGGGGTTGGCTTGAGCAGTTCTCCTGGGGTGGGCTGGGTCTGGCTGGTGTCTCCCAGGGTTGGCGGGGGGCTGCCCCATCTGGAATAGCCTCAGCGGGGGTGACGTGGTTCACTCCACGCATTCCCTCACATGCTAGTAAGCTAGCCCAGCCTTGTTCTTATGGCAGCGGCAAGGTTCTGAGAGAATGAAAGCACAAGGCCTCTTGAGGACTAGGCTTGGAACTGGTACACCACCACTTCACCACAGTGGCCAAAGAGAGTCCTAAGACCAGCTCAGGTTCAAGAGTGGTGAGGCAGAATCTACTTCCTGACAGAAGGAGGTGAAAAGTCACTTTGCAGAGAGCTTGACTATGAGGGGTAGGGAGTGGAGCCAATTTTGCAATCAAACTGCCACATCTAATATCTTAGATATCTTTTCCCCTAAAAAAAGTAGATAAGAAAAGTTGATAAGAATAAAGTACAGTTTTATTAATTAGTAAAATAGCACATGAGTCTTCCAAAACATATGTGTTCTCTAGTTCCTCTGATCCAAAAAAAGTGCTGAAATAGACAATGTGCTAAGTGGATAAATATCTTTTTTATTTAGGGAGGCAGGGCACAAAAATGCCCACTTCCAGAAAACAGCCTTGCAGTAGAAGATTTTTTTAAAAAGAAAAATAAAACTGAAAATTTGACTTCCTGTACGCCCTGCAAAGAAGGGGGTGGAGCAGAGCTGTGAACGTGTGAGGAGCAGCTGGCTTTTATTTTTAAACACATACTAGAGTTACCCAGATATTTTTCTAGAAAAATGGAAGGAGACCTACTAAAGGATTCTGACACAGAGGAATATCATTTCAGGTAAATGCTAATGTGACTGACATGGTCTTTTTAGAATAAAGTCTTCTCATTGTAATCTATTTGTCTTGTCTGCCAAATGAGAAAAAGAAATACACAATGAATGCTGAAAGATAAAAAATGCCATAGATTCTTAGTAGGCTTTCAAGAAATGTTTGAAATGTCTGAGTCAGGTTTTGTTCACTGCTGAAGTAGACTTCTCTTTCAGGGAGTTCAGTTCTGATGCATGAGAACTTATAAATCATACCCCTGTAACAATAAAGTCTTGTTTGCATAGAATAATTCGATACCACCAGTGGTAACTAGGGTTCTGTGATATTATTTTTAGGTCTGAGGTCGTGAGCAAACTTAAACTGTAACAGTAAGAAAGCCACGGAAGAACCAACCAAGCTCCGCTGCACTTCTGAGGCCACTGGGTCGTAAATCTGGAAATGATAAGGCAATTGACGCACAGCCAAGTCACTCTGTGGGTTTTAGGGTCAGCTTATGGAACTAGTTTCTGTAAACTCTCACCAAGGATTGAAAAAACAGGGTCCACAGGAATGTGCAAGATAATGTAAATGATCAAGCAAGCAGGGCGTAAGGGCGTAAGGGAGTAACGGTGATCATGGCGAACCCCATCTAAAGAGAACTAATTAAAAGTTTAAAAAAATCGTGCAAGCCAAACAAAGCAAGTGTGTGTGTAGCTGTGACCTGCACTATGTGAATCATGACTTCTCCAGAGCAAGGCTAGAGTGCTAGTAAACTGATAACCTCTAACCATGACTTCTCTTGTGCCAAATCAACATGAGAACTTAAGAAACTTTTTTTCTTTAATCTTCTTTACCTTTTCCACTTTCTCCTTTAAAGAGTTAAAAGAATATTACAAAATTGTGTGCCAACTCAAGAAGCACATTTATATGTGATTATCAACTCAGATTTCACCTTGAGTTTTCTCTGAAATTGTCTAGACGTATCAAAAAATACAAAAACAAGCTCTGGGGGATAACAAAGACTCTAAATGCCATAATCTGTCTGAAACATAAATTGAGACAAAAGGGTTATTTTTACTTGTATTATTTCAGTAGGCCTTCAATAATATATTGTGAAACCTGAATAGAACTTGGACATAGTGTGGCTCAGTATATGTACACTGTCAATGAAAAGAAACAGCAGAAAAGCACAAAAGAAATAGACATTTGTCTGTATGTCCCAAGTAAAACAACCCTAGATATAAAGAAATTCCCCATTTTCCTCATAAGAAAATCACTAAAAAATGACTAGTGTCATTTTTTGAATGCCCCCTAAATATAAATACTTTGATACAGGATTTATTTCCATCTAAGTTGTTAAAGAACCAGTGCTTTTTCATTCCGTGTATGATGCTATCATTGGCCATGCTACCTCAAGGAGCAAGTACCCATTTGTGTAATATTAGATCTCTTGTTTTTATTTTTATTCATCTTATTGGTATTTATGCTTAATCTCCATAACATAAACATGTACTGTGTTGCTTTCAAAGACCTATAAAGATTTAAAGATTTATAAGTGACTTCTAAAGATCTATAAAAGATGTTCTATAGTCTTACCAACTGCAGTTTAGAGCTGATACTACAGAAATAAACAACTAAATTATATGACATATTTTTGCTTTTTCTTAGACTCCACCAAGTGATTTCTAGAATCACTCAAAAGTACCATTCATGGAGGTCTTTTAGGCCAATGTCTCTTCCCCAAATGACACTTAGCCATTCAAAATAAGGCAAATGAAGAGCCCCAAATATGAGAAACTCTAGGGATGATAGGCTATGATCTTCCTCTAAGGAATGCTTTTGAAAAAAAGAAAACTTCTCAGTTTATAATAGGCACATATGATAATCAGACTATTTCAATGTTATTTAGTCTTTCAGAGAAAAACAAGAGATGGAGGTGGAGATAGCGTCCTTAATGTCCAACAGAACCTCTTTAACAATCCTCTTTTGCTCTCTGTCACTATTTTCTGCACAGGCAGCAGCTGCCACTCCATAAACCCACGCCCCACTCCCACACGCACCCAGCGGTCTCTCCCACTTACAGAGGTGGAAAAGTGGCTCTCAATCTGTTCCTTTCTCTCCCACCCCCGTTTCCCCCTTACCTCCACATGGCTCTCTGTTCTCTCTCCACCCCCACCCCCAGCCCAGGGCCTCCATTTATGCTCCCCACAAAAACACTCTGGGAAGTGTAGTCTAGTATCTTATTCCAATTATTTTTCTTGAGTAAATCTGTCCATTATCCAGATTCTGTACTAAAGAGTCCAGGTGCTGACATACCCACAAAGCAAGAACCCTGCCTTCTCAAAAAGCAGAAAGAAGGGAAAAAGGCCTCATATTTGCTAATCCTTTTATTCCTGTGATGCTTGAATAGACACATCCTGTCCTGTGTGTCACCCCATGGAATTGCATAACTAGGCCAAGGAAGGCATAAGCCCCTACCTGGCAGTAAAAATGTAACCCTTGACAAACACAGTGCTAAAGTCCTCTCGGTTCCCAAACCAATTATTTTTTCTTCTGATTTGCTTGTGTTTCTTTCCAGAATTTTTTGACTGAAATTTTGTGATAGAAATAAACAATCTTTTCACCCTCTAATTTGTAAGACAAGAGGTCAGTTGCTTGAAGCTTTACCTCGTGTTTACCAACAGGGGGAAGCAATGAGATTCAGTGACTCAGATTTTAAGTGGAACAAGAAAAATATTTTTGAATTAAGCCAGTGACTTTTCATCTATAATCTGTTTGGAGAATCCACCTAAATTCAGTAACTTCAAAGAAGAATCATTCCTGTGGGTCACGAATTTGGGTAGGGCTTAGAGGAGCAATTCTTCTGCCTCCTGTGGCTTGGGCTGTGGGCAGTCAGTGGAATTCAGTGGCAGCAGGGCTTTCCTAAAGGATCCATGGCAGTTCACCCACTGCCTGGTGTCTCAGTGGGGATGGCTGGAGGGCTGGGTTCCATTGCACCCCTGCTTCTCTCCACGTAATCTCAGAGTCTCTCCATGTAGTCTTTCCAGGGTAACTGGACTTTTACACAGCAGTTCAGGGTTCCAAGAGTGAGTGTTCTAAGACACAGAAAGAGGGGTCTGCCAGTTTCTCACAGACTGCCAGAAATGGGCATGTGGCCACTTACACTCTATTTTATTGGTCAGAGCAGTTATAAGCTTTTAAAGTGAAGATTCATAGAGCTACCGTTTGATGGCAAGAAGGTATAAAGAACAAAAAAAGCTTGTGGCTAACCCTAACCCACCACACTTCATTGCCAAGGTCTATGCCTGGAAGACTCAGCTCAACTCATCTCTTCCATCACAGGGCTGGCAATCTTTGGCCCACTGACCAAATTCAGCCTACTTTCCATTTTAGCAAACAAAGCTTTTTGGGAACACAGTTACACTCATTCATTTATATCCTGTCTATGGCTGTTTTCACACTGTAACAGTGGAGTTGAGAAGGTGTGACAGAGAACATATGGCCCATGAAGCCTAAAATATTTACTATCTGGCCCTTTACAGAAAAAGCTTGCTGACTCCAGTTCTATAGCATAAAAAGAACCCAGTTCTGACAGAGATAGTAGAAAACATACTCTTCCCAGCCCTGGTCAGTTGAGAGGCAGAGAAGTCAGGGAGTTCAGCATGTATATTTCCCAGTGCCCCTTATGAATGGGTCTACAGTAAGAACACCCAGATGAAAGGGAATCTGAGGTCACCAAGGGTGAGGGTTAGTGGCACTCTCCTCTGGGAGAGGGGACAGGGGTGCTAAGTCTCTAGGAGAAGACCAGACCCAGACACTGCCAACATGGCAGGGTGCAGTACTACAGTCCTGCCAGCAAGGCTGCTCCAGGTGGGCTGGGGTAGTTCCTTCAGAGGGCCTGCTGGGGGCAGAATGTCCTATGTGCTGTGGTACGCGGGAGCACGGAAGTGGGGACGTCCCAGGGAGCAGCTGGGAGCATTTATGACCAGGGAAAATGGCTGGAATCAGGCACACCCTTGTGACCATCAGTCTAGAGACTGGACAAGAGCCCTCAGTCCCCTGAAGAACAAGGAAAGTCTGAAGCCCCCCATGTGGATGCAAGCCATGCAATACTCCCCCACTCTCCCAAGGAAAGCAGGAGGAGGGAAAAGGTGAATTATCTAAGAGCATAAGAAAGACAGCTTAAACTGGAGGAGACCATTGCCATGATCTGTGGCGAGTTCAGACTTCCTACTGGGCCCTCCCTCTGACTCTCTCTCCAGCGAATCAGTAAGGCAGCCCTCAGGAATGCCAGATTACTTTTAGGGAAGAGAGAAACTACATTTTTTTTCCTCACACCTGAATGTAAGGTATAAACTTTAGACCTTGTTACAGTGAGATTCTATGAGTTTCTTATATTCTTTTAAATTAAATTCATATTGTAAAGATCCTAACATCATTGCCCAGTCCTAACATTAAACTTCTAATAGGACTGGAAGGAACCTCCTTCTTGAGAGATGGAGGACATAGCTGTGGCAGGTCATAAAATGAAATTCATGAGCAGTCTGGCCAGTTCCGCTGTGGTTTTGACAAGGGCCTAGGGCACTGCAGTGTGCTAGGGCACTGCAGTGTGCTAGGATGCTGAAGGAAGCTATTAAGGCCAGATTCCTCCCAAGAAAATGATGGTGGAGTTAATTCAGATGATTTCCTAGCAAAGTTTCTTTCTCTGCCCCAACAACACTACCACTCTGTTCTACATTTTAAAAGAGGTGGGGTCATGTTTTAAATTTGCTAATGAACAAATCATTGGCTATTAGAAAATACAGGTGAAGTAGTAATTGTTAGCTGGTAAGTTGAAGTGCAGTAAAGTGATTCAGGTTCAGGTGTGATTTTTCACAGCTAGGCCATAGCTGTAACTGCTTGAAGACACAGGCAAGAGAGATGTGGGCTTGGAAATGTGGTGACCTTTCTCTGGGAGCTCTAATGGGTGCTTACGAGCCATAGATAAAGCCATCCTGAAAAACTGAGCTATTAGTAGACAAAGTATCTACTTTAGGCTACATTTTAAGATAGCTTATCTATTGCTGTATAACAAACCAGCCCAAACCTTAGTGGCTTAAAATAACATCAATTTTATTATTTCTCATGCTGCCTTGGATTGACTGAGCTCATCAGGAGGTTCTTCTGCTCCATGTGATGTCATTCACAGTCACGGTCATCTGAGAGCTCATCTGGTTTTGGAAAATCCAAGAATGATGCTGAATCCTCAATGGGGGGCTGTTGATCAGAGCACCTAGGTTTTCTCATACACAGTCTATGTGACTAGAGTCTTTCAAAGCATGGTAGCTGGGCTCAAAGTGGAAGCATTCCAAGTGCAAAACTTCCAAGGGGAAGGAACTGCAAGTTCCATGTTTCTTACACAGAAGTCTCACAGAATTTCTTATCTGCCACATTTCATTTGTTGAAGCAATCACAGAGCCAGCCCAGATTCAAGAGGAGGAGAAATAAGCCCTACTTTTTGACATGAGATGTGACATGGGTATACAGGGAAAGGATGTATTATTGGGTGCTTTATTAGTCAGGGTTCTCCAGGGAACAGATATATTTATAACTTGAGAGAGAGAGAGAGAGAGAGAGAGAGAGAGAATTAGTTCATGGGACTGTGGAGTCCAAAATATGTTAAGTAGGCTGGCAGGCTGGAGACCCAGGAGGAATTGCAGTGG